AAATCACATATTTCATGAAAAGTAAGTGTAAAGGAAGGGTTTGTATTTTCAATTTTTTCTTTAATTTGATTTAGAATATTTGGAATATCTTCTTGGTTTTTAGGCTTTTTCTTAGGTTTTTGAGTATCGAGAGGAGGTAGTTCATTTTCAAGGATTTCAGGAGAGGAGATTTGTCTTTTAATAGCATGAGTAACTTCAGTGGTTTTTCTATCGCTTTCAATCACTAAGGAAATTATATTGGAAAATTTTTGGATTGAATTCGAAATTGTAATTCATTTTTTGTTTGTGAGGAAGTGGTTTGGTCCTTTGTAGCTGATGTTAATTTGTGTTTTTGTATGGTATTGGGATTTGTTCTATTCATGTTTCGGTATCTGTCTTGTATTGGTTTCGTGGTTGTGTCTTGCAGCTGATTATTAATTCTTTAATTGGTAGAGTTATAATGTAATAAACCCTTGTGGTCAGTTTCCTTTGATTAATGAACTGCTGAATGCTAAAGAAGGAGAGTCATAACGTGAATGTCCGACATCTTGCATCTTGGAGCAGTTTTAAAACACATCTCTGAAATGATAGTCGATATGCTGCATATGTCGAATTAGATTAAAAATGAGTCAGGAATTGATGCCTTTCCTAAAGGACTTATAAACCATTCCACCCTAAACTGATTTTACGTGGCTGTATTCGTGGGTCCATCGCGTGCCTACCGTAGTAACGTTATGTTGGAGGTGGAATTCTAATACCATTGTTTTTAAGTGCTCTTCAATTTATGCAAATAGGTATAGTAGACATACATTCGATATATTAGTCCACTCTGGACAGGGGTCTTCTTTACTTCAATTCTGTTACCATCAATATTTATATATTTCCTGGGAGCTATAGAAAATTGATCAACTACATATTTATAGGAGAGGTAGATGCAGATGCGTGTTAGCCTATTTTGGAGTTTCCAAAGAACATTTATTGGCTGTACTTATTGATCCAACAGCTATTTACATATTCCAAAAACTTTATTCCTATTAAGGATGAAAGTATAATACCTTGGTCTTTTAAAGGGTGTTTGGAAACTGTTTAATGCACTGGAGTAAGATATATGTTACTTAGTGGGAGAATATTTAAGAAGTAGCCTGATTCCGGTTCATCCATTTTCCCCGCTGAGATCTTACGTATATTGGTGCACCATAGATCTGAAGCCGGACCTGGCCACTTAATAAAATTGAACTGCACCTAATTACTGTTAGAAGTAAGAACCACAAAAAGTGTTGTCGATAGATCGATAAGTGAATGAAAATCGAAAAACTATTTTGCCTTTTTAAACATCTGATTTTAATGTTATTAATAATGCATTTTTGTTACTCCACCGAATTCTACCTTTTTCCAGTGCACTGGTCCACATATGAACATTATCTGCAAACATATGAAAATTAATTTTATAAAGAGAAACTTTGAAATATTCGTTTAAACCGTTGACAGTTTTTTGAGGTTTTATTAAATCTCGAAAAATATTATTTTAAAAATACTAGGAAATGTATAACAACATAATGGTTACGGTTTATTTATTTTTTTTATTTAATTACCTTACTTACCTTGTACTTGAAGGTATTTGCCTGCTTTGAGTTTGGAAAATAATCTTTGTACTGAGTATTTCGTCTAAAGCTTTCCTTTAACATAACATTTGTCTTGTCTGTAATCTTGTTATTACGGACAATCATGATTTTTTTGTGTTCAAAGTCATTCTGTATCTCTGACAATATTGCGTAGTGCGATCAACCAAAATTTGCAGCCCTTCTCTGCTGTCCTTAGGGAGTACTGTACCGTCATTGTTATGCCTTCATTGATGCATTATATTGCGTCTTTGAACATCTCTTCGTGATACATTGTAAAACGTAAGGGGAATAGTACACACCCTTGTCATACTCCTCTTCGTATAGGTGTCTCTTTAGATTTTTGTTAGTCTACTCTTATGATGACTTTCTGGTATCGGTATGAATTTGTAATGAATCTCACATCCTGATCATCTATTTCTGTGTTCCGTAATATGTCTGCAAACCACCTGTGTTATATTTTATCGAAGGTTTTCCCAAAGTCAAGCCTTTATTAAAGGGTATTTTATAGAAAAGTTATTTGATCTGTCTTGTGCAATTTCTTGTTTATAAATGACAATATATAATTTTTTTGACAAAACCTTTCTTAGTAGTTTTTTTCTTCCTGTTTTTTTTATTTTTAATTATTTTTAGAGCAGGTACTTCAGGCTCTATCATATAGTACTTTGAAAATATCTGTTAATGTGCGTTGGTTTTTCTGTAAACTTTGGTTGTATATCTTGTATCTTCTTTTGTGATAAACACATGTAGAAAAGGAAGTGAATTGTTGTTTCGTTTTTCTATGGTGAATTTTATGATTCTTCTATCAGTAATATATTCAATGCTTATCGTCCTTGAGGCCAAATGAAGAACACATCCTCTAAATATAGCCATCATACTGTGGGTTGTTTGTCTTGTTGGTGCACAATGTTTTGTTCGAAATCCTCCATGATTAAATCTGCTAATAATGGAGATAAGGATGAGCCCATGGCTAATCCGAAATTTTGCTTATAGAAATCACTATCTGGTTGAAAATAAGTGTTATCCGTGCAAAGTGTTAGTAGCTCTATGATAGCTAATACATTTAGTGGGTTTTTGTCGTTAATATACCATTCCTCTCTAGTTTACCTCTTATTATTTTTAAAATATTCTTCAATGGTAATTGGTGAAAGGACTAGTGATATCAAAACTGACTAGCATATTATTGACATTATAATGTCTTCTGCTAGTTTGTGCAAAAATTGTTGTGAGTTTTTGATACAAAATATTGTGTTGTGTGCTAGAGGCTGTATTATGTCTAGGAAGAATTTTGACATTCGGCTGCGAGGAGAACCCATGCTGCTGCAAATCGGTCTGAGGGGTACATTTTCTTTGTGAATTTTTGGAACACCGTATAAATGTGTGGTATAGTGCTATAATAGTGATGTTAATGTTTTTATTTGCTAGTCTGTCAGGTATTTTTTAGTGTTTCATATTTTTTGTTTCCTGTGATTCCGTTGGATCCTTTTTTAGGTATAAGGTTCAGTTGTGACCAATTCTTGAATTTTCGTCTGATATTGACTTTTATCAATAATTACAGTTACGTTGCCCTTTTAGAGCTTTGAGTTTCTGTTTAGTAAGATTTGTTATTTACTTTGTATTTTTTCCAGTTCATTTTTGAATAGAACTTTATATTCTTTCTTTTCATGTGTTGGTAGTACTTGACAAACTTTTTCAACTGCACTGATTATGTCTAGTTTAGGAACTCTTGGGCGTGTTACAGCATAATTTAGACTTTTTGAGAGCATCATGTTCCCTGAGTTTGTGTTCAACTATCTCTTTGATAAATTGACAACTGTTGTGCCGTTAGAATCGTGTCTTAGTAGGTTATTGATATTCTTTTTATTAGATAGCCTACAGTGTGCTACATTTATGTAGATTTATTGTCATCAATATACTGTAATGTTTATTTTAATTTATTTACAGTTTTCCAACACTAACTTACACTTTAATTTCACTTATATACAGGGTGTTTCAAAAAAGGTAACCCCGTCTCTAGGGCAGGTAAACAACTGAAAAATAATTGAGGTTTGCTTAGTAAAAAATTTTGTAGCGCCATCCGTTTTCAAGATACAGGGCGTTGAAGAAAAAAAATTTACGCATTTTTTACGATTTTGCCGAAACTACTGGCAACATTGTAATGAAATTTTATACGAATATGTTTTGGAAGCTGATACATCCCATGAATTTGTTTTTATATCTAATTCTCATAGAGGGCGCTAGTTACACGGATCGTACTAAGTATTAGTCAATATAACTTTTTTAAGAGTATAATTATTAATCAAAATTTCAAGTAAACTTAACATCATTCAATTTTACACGAAAAAGGTACTCTTGGTAAAACTCGATACTGTGTACCGTTTTCGGAATATTTTGATTTGAAAATTATGAAGTAATAATTGATGCTGGTAGTAATGATAAAGGTCTAATAGGTATACCTCTATTTTCTCCAAGTGTGCCATGGAAATCTGACATATATTGATTGTTATGACGATAAATCAACAATAATTATAGTTTTGAAACCTTGTTATTTGTAAAATCAAATCAAAATGTACTTAAATGTTGAATACACTGACATGTTATTAACCTTAGGCGAATGTTTAGGATGTTCTAGTGCAGCTGGACACTTTTTCGAAATATTCTTGAATTTGAAACAGTTGAATTCTTGTGTCAGGACACCCGTAGTGGTTCTTGAGATATCGCAAAATTTCTATCAAGGGCGTAGCAAAGTTATGGTACTAATACTATATTAGGACATAAAGAACATATTGGCCTCTAAATATAACTACAGATTAGCTACGCTATATTAACTAACCTACTACGGTTTTTCTTGGATCTTCGATAAAAGCTAAAAGTATGTATATTGTGACTGTTGTGGGCAAGGATCCTTACCCAACATGCGTTAGTTTGTATAATAAATTACCTAATTATGCTAAAGAGTCAAATATTTATGTATTTAAGAGAACAGTTAAGGACTTATTCTGGTAAACACTTTCTATTCGTTAGAGGAATACTTGCAGGCATCTTTTTAACAATTTGTATATTGTTGTGTATATTTTATGTTTTATGTGCTTATAGTTTTCACTTTTTTTACTACCTATGTACCTACAGTTTTTTAGATTGTAGTTTGACGTATTTCAATACTTGTAAAAGTCAGATGAAATAAAGAATATTGATTAACTGTTTGATTGAGTGACTAATAAACTTTTGATATGAAAATAAAGTGGTGTGTCATCTTTCAATAACTTTGTTCTGTACAATTTTCCAAAGGAGGAAGTGCATCGTTTTCCTTATGTTTAATTTTATATTATTGATTGATATGAACTTTTTAATATAAATAAACAATATTAGTGTCATACAATAATTATACTTTTTGTATTTTAGGAAACAAAAAGGCCCTCAAAAGAAATGCAGGTAACGATAGCACGGCAACTAGGTTTGGAACCGACAACTGTAGGTAATTTCTTCATGAACGCGCGAAGAAGGTCTATGGATAAGTGGAAAGACGAGGACCCAAAAGCCGTTTCTCAGGCCATGCTCCACCAACAACTATCACCAGGAATGGATCAAGATGATCTGGATCAGGACGGAGATATGGACAATGATATGGATGATCATGACGATGTCTTGTGACATGCATTTCGTGATCGTCACTTGTTATTGCTGTGACACTTTGTTTAAGTGTAGCATTTTTAGAACAATTAGATTAGTGTAGATTCACCAACATTGTGTATTTGACCTATCGTTATAATTTTTGTTGGACACAAATGTATTTTACAAGACAATCTCTAGTTATGTACCAATTTACTTGCATAATTCAAGGACATATGATCCCAATCTGCGATATTCTTTAAGAATATCCATACTAATGCATTGTGGTTTCTAGGACTCAAGACACTTTGCTTCTACAAACCATAAGCCTTGTGCAAATGTAAATGTAAAATTTTTGTTTTGGGATACATGAACTGAATGAACTAATTATCACTTATTGTTAAAATATATTTTGGCTTAAAAAATTACGACTTATAATAAAAACAAGTATTGCTGGTGAAAGTTTAACAATGAATACTCAAATCAGTATTTATCCCTTTCAATATATTTTATATCTTTAGTAAAAATACATATATTATTATTAATTTATAAAAGTGAAAGCCAAAGTATATTTATTTTTAATCCTAACTAAGCCTACCGTCTACATTGGTGTCAAAAAATTTTATTTTCTTCTTATTAAATAGACGTTTTACGTCTTTTTCTCTACTCTAATAGTGAATTACAATCATGTTCATTTGATGAACAATTTTATCGAAATATTTCTATTTTGCGAAATAATGCGATTTTGGTTTTTCAGTGAGAATGTTTTAATACAAATGTCTGCTGTGATATGTGGCATGTCTACAATATTCTTTACCGATAATATCCATTGCCTTACTTTGTAAAATCTTATTTTGTACACTTCAAGTGTGATAACATTATCACTACATCTAAAACGCTAATACAGACTCAGAAATCATGGTCTAGTTGTCCATACAATTAGAGGAACATTTTTGAAGAGCAATTTTTTGAGAAATAAATTAAAACAATTAAAAAACATCATTTTATTTAAAAAAAATTTTTTTAAGATAATAGGCATATTTCTCGGGTGAAAACTCTTAAATGATGTCGTTAATGACGTTCTGATTATCAACTATGAATGCATGGGTTATTTTTACTGACTAACTTGTGTGCTCACTCAACTTTAATTCTTGCGCACGCCGTTGTCGTATACTTCTAATAAGTTTTCGCATAAAATATTTCTGCGGTATATTTTCCATGTTTTTTTAATTCAGCATCCACAGTAATATTTTTATTTTAGCAACATCCATGTAATTTTCCTACACCATCTTTACAGGTCCCACTTTACTGCAGGTCTCACCACACTGTTGTATGTCTCTCCTTTTAGCCCTTCACCGATTTTTCGATCACAGAGTACCTTGCTCATGCGCTTCCAGTTAAATTAGCCCCTGTATCCTGTGGGAAATTTCTCGATCTATTTTCCGTTATGTAGATAACTACAACATTTAAATTTTCCTCCACTATCAAATCCAATGACTTCATGAATGGCTACAGGTAGGAACCGCTTACCCAGAGATCTATAGATGGGAAGGGTTAAACAATCAAAACGAAATAATAATTAATAATAGGGTCTTTCAAATTGCCATCGATTTTTGTCATAATCCATAAAACGAGGCTTTCAGGAAGATCTTGTTGGTAAATCAGAATTTCCTAATTTTGTCCTTATCGTACTATTACTAACCACCACTTCATTTGTCATTCCCATATCATTGTAAGTTTCAAGCGGTAGATTTACACCAAGGTAGTACTAGAAGAATCAAAACAGTTCGGTCTCTCTGTGGAGTGGGTTTTCTTTGCGATATTGCTTTATTCTGTGTATTTATATCGAATTATCCATAATTCTGAGAATGACATCTGTGTGATCAGCGGATACAAATAAAAATTCGGAAAGAGTAAAAGTAAAAGTAATATACCCTACTGCCCAAAATTAACGCATCACCTTAAATGTACCACAAGTTTGAAGCTATTTTTCTTCTGAACGGATAATTGTATTTTATTGATTTTTTTCCCATGTTACAGATTTCTAGTAAACCACCGTATTAATGGTTTCTAGAAAATATCTACGTTTTAGCCGTATACGGGGTGTAAAAATAAAGTTGTGTTTTTCATCGCATTTTAAAACACCCTGTGGAATTTATTAGAAAGAAAAGGCACATCTTATTAATATTTTAAGATCTTCTTCTTCTTTCAGTACCTTGTCCAATTATCGAACATTGGCGATTATATTGGCAATAATAACTTTATTTACAGCGACTCTAAATAAATTAGAGGTGGTTTCTTGATACCATTCTCGGAGATTTCGGAACCATGATGTTCTTAGTCGGCCTGGGCCTCTCCTTCCGGCGATCTTACCCTGTATTATGAGATGTAGAAGGTTATACCTCTCTGGATGTCTCATTCACATGACCAAAATATTGTAACATTCGAATTTTATTTTGTTATTCTGTTTTTCAAACGATAAAAAACTAATTCATTTCTTATTCGATCAACCCAACTTATCCGCAATACTCTAATTCTTTCATTAATGTCTCTGTAAGGGTCCAGCTCTCTATACCATACAGAAATCTGGAGAATATGTAGCACCGTATTAATCTGATTTTAAGGTTTAACGTAATATCTCTATTAATTAGAATTTTCTTTAATTTATAGAAGGCGGCTCTGGCATTTTCAATGCGTATTCTTATTTTTTTTTATTTATATCCCAGTTATCGTTAACGTTTGCACCCAAGTAAGCCTTCTTGTATAGGAGTTCGGAGTAGATATTAAAAAGTAGAGGCGATAGAATACATCCTTGCCTCACTCCATGTCGTATTTCCACTGCTTCCGTCGTGTTGTGTCCAGCTCGTATGTTTGCACATTGATGCCAATACAAATTTTTGATAATACGGAGGTCTTGGTCATCAATTCCCACCTGTTGCAAGACACCTATAAGTTTGTCATGGTTTACTCGGTCAAAGGCCTTTTCGAAGTCGATAAAACACATATATACTGATTGTTCTATATCCCTACATCTTTGAACCATGACCTGCAAACTAAAGAGTGCTTCTCTGGTTCCAAGGTTGTTTCTGAAACCAAATTGTGTTTCACTTAGTTGTACTTCTATTTTGTTGTAAATTCTCGAGTGCAGTATTCTTAAGAAAATTTTGAGTACATGACTCATCAGACTGATAGTGCGATGATTGCTACACTGTTTGGCATTTATTTTTTTCGGTATCATTACAAATGTTGACAGTAGCCAGTCTGTTGGTATATGTCCTATTTCGTATATTTTATTAAAGAGGCTTAGAAGAGAATGTTTGTCCTTATCGTCGAACAGTTTGATTATTTCGCTTTATGGACCGGTTTAGTTATTTTGATTGAATTTGGTACCTCTCGTTAATTGTTATATAATCGATCTGATTTCTTATGATCTTTTCTTTAGTATCTGCTGGTGACTTCCAAGTATATAAACGACGCTTGGGTAGTTTGAAGAATGTATTTGTCACACAAAGATTGTTCTCTACGCAGAATTCTACAAAACGGTCTCCTCTGTCATTACGTTGTCCAAGTCCAAAATTCCCTACAATGTTTCCTTGTCTACCTTTTCCTACTTTGGCATTGAAGTCCCCCATTATTATATTAATGTCTTTGTTTTTCAGCTGACTCATTACCTTCTTTATACAATCATAAAAATTCTCTATATCATCTTCACTACTGCTGGCTGTGGGCGCATAAACTTGGACCAGATTTATATCTACTGGTTTTGAGTTTAATTGCATCACGATGACTCTGTCCGAAATGTAACTTACAGATTTAATACAGGAAGAGATTTCTTTATGTACAATGAATGCGACGCCATTCCGGTGGTTAGTGCCTTCTTCCCGAATAGAATACATCGTGGTCGTCTATGTTACATTTACCAGTCCCTGGCCACCGCATTTCGCTTATCCCAAGAACTGGTATATTGAGCGTTATCTTCTCACGTATGGTGTTTTGTATCTTACCAGGCTCGTAGAGACTTCTCACATTCCATGTGCCTATTTTGATACCTGATTTTATTCTGATTTCTTTTCCTTTATCACAGGGATTTCGCTGGATAACGGCCTGGAAAGCCCTGTGTGCTTGTCTTCTCCTGCCGGATCTTGGATCAGTATACCTTTTCTTATCATATGATAGTGCCATTATGATTGAACTAGGGAATAATAATGGGTGGTTTCCCGTTGCCTTCCCCATCGCAGTATCACAACCATTTAAACTGCTCCAGTCATGCTTGTGATAGCCCAGTTTCAAGCCGATCCAGGATTATTTCCTCTACGCCTTGAGCTGGTACTGATGATCGCTGCTGCCCTTCATCACATATAGCGATTCTATATAATCCCTAAAATCAAGGGATTGCCACTTCCGCCATCCACACCGTACCGAAGGAATTCTTCTCCGCCGTGGCTGCCGTTGTGGACTTCATCCGTGACCCTGGACAAGGGACCCTAAGCAGGTACTAGTTTCCCGGGTCAGGAAACACCTGGAATCTGCGGAGGGCAGGGATTGATTCATTTTCCCTGATAGGACTATCCAGAGGAGTTCCTACCCGCTACCCCTGTAATATTTATAATATTTTAATATAGTTTTATTTTTTCTCAAGATTTTTGTAAAACAATTATCTTGATAACTTTATTTTTAAAGATTATGCAAAACTTTAAATCTAAGAAGTTTTTATTAACATGTAAAGCAAATAAAACACTACTTACATAAACTTTAAGGACATTTAATACAACTAAAGGCTAAGAAAATATAACCTTAATAGTCTTTAACAATTTTCTGTCTCAAAAACAATGAATAACGAGTATTTCCATCTCTACATCTAATTACTTCTACACAGCAACGTGGCATACTTAAGATCAAACGGCGTATTTGGTCTTGATCAGTTGCATCCCAAACTTCTCTCACCATAACTTCTATGTCGTCAAAGATCAGGTGGTGGATCAATAATATCCCACAAATTCTCTATGAGACTTAGATCAGGGCTTCAGAGCGGTCAGTTCATG